TAGTGATTAAAGTAGGTAAATTGAGAGTTACGGCAGTATTAATATACATCTACTGAAGTAACATTATTTTTTATTTTTGTTCTTCAAGTTTTACCGAACTTTCAGTAAATTGCAACTCGTCAGTTTTACCGAAGACTTTATCTTACGTTTTACCGAACTATTCAATAAATATGAATGTAGCGAGCACTTGGCTTACGTTTTACCGAACTGTAACTGAAGCGCTAATACATGTATCGTGAGCTTTATGATTTTTACATTATTTTTCAATGCAATTTCTTTTACAGTCTAGTTCTTGAAAAATTACTGTTTTGACACTTCATCCCAGTTTTACCGAACTAAATTCAGTAAAATTTCAGGAATAAATTTTCTCCGTGCTGGATCAGCGAAAATGGATTATCGATGGAGCCAAATCAGTGAAACTTATAGCTATTATAGTGATTGTTATCTCTACTTTAGTAGAACTTTTTTTAGCGTGCTTCATTCAACACCCGCGCGAGTTATTTTTTCCTTGGGGAGTTAGCATTTGGGTGTGAAGTTTTAACTCTCTTTATTTAACTCCCCTGGCTTTAACTCCCCAATGGGTGCGACTTTTATAGAATCCCCTGGGGAGTTAAAATTTAACTCCCTTTTTTTACAGTGTACATTTGCCTCAATATCTCAGAACGAGAAAGAACTAAAGGCCTCAATTTTTTTTTAAATTGTAGGTCTCTCCGGGGGACCTAAAATGAGAGTATTTTCAGCCCGATTTATAAAGTTTAACTATATTTTTTTGCATTTTTCATTTTGTAAAAAAACGTTTTTTGGCCATAACTTAAAAAAAATGTTAGGGCACCTATAAATGTTTTTCTTTAGTTTTGTAGAGTTTGTTGAGACACATCTTTTGAGCCTTCATTGAACATTTTTCGTCTATATTAACCAGAGATATTAAAGTTTTAAAAATCTAAATTTTTCGAAAATAACACTTTTCTGAAAACTTTGTTGAAAAATATAAAAATAATTTTAAAAGTATCATTACCAACTTGTAGAGCATTAAAAAACGCTTCGATTGACATATTTTTGAACCTGACTTGGTCAGAAATTATCAAATTATTGGTATTTGAAAAATCAAAAATTGTGGAAAATATCATTTTTTCAACATTCTTGTTTATTAACCTATGTGTAATTATTAAACTATTATAACCATCTTATGGAATATATAGAAACACATCTTTTGGACCAAGATTTAATGATTTTTAACCCTTTTATAAAAAGTAATTATTATATTTCAATTATTATTATTTCTATGAGGAAGCAAAGTGTTCATGAAATGAACACCAAAATTATAAAAATGTACAACTTGGCAGCGGTTTTTTTAATTGTTTATTTTAATTCTATTAATTACCGATAAATGTTGCAAGTATTGTTTTAATATTTGTGTACGGAACCCGCCATTGCAGTGCGAGTTCAACTCGCACTTGTCCAATTCTTTTTTAGATTTTTTAATATGTTTTTTGTGATCAGACTGTAAAAATATACTAATAAACCCATTTTTAGTTAATTAGATCAAATAATGTGGAAATTAGAAAAAACAATTTTTTTTCTAAAATTTTTTTAGTTTTTTCTTGACAACGCTATGGCCATTATTACATAGCAAGTTCTCTATATTTTTCCTGTAATATTCGCGTTAAAATACACCAGTATGCCAAATTTTAGCCCTCCATGTTGAATAGTTTAGAAGTTAAGAGTGGGGGATGGTACTTTTTATGCATTTTTGGCCAAAAATCTTGTTATTTCCTTGACAACGCTATAGCCATCACCTCCAATCACATTCTCTATATTTTTCCTGTAATCTACGTGTGAAAATACGTATCTGTGCCAAATTTGAGCTTTCTAGGTCAAATAGTTTAGCCGCTAGGGGGGGGGGGCACGATTTGGCTACGGACACAAGAGTCTCACCAATAGGGTTCCGCCGATACACCGTATAGGTGTACGGAATCCTAAAAATGTGCAAATCATTGAATCCCTGCGAAATATTTATTATTTATGGAAAAATTAAAAGTTTACGTAGAATTGTATTAAAAATTTTTTCATATAATTGAATTCTTTTAGAAAATTTTATTAGAATAGTAGGTATTGAAAATCATTGAATTGAGGAAATTTTTTGAAAATAATTCAAATTTTGCCGAGAATCCCGTTGCTTGCGATCACAGAGGTTAAGTCACTTTGAGTGCGGTTAGTACTTGGATGGGTGACCCTCTGTGAATCGCTACAGTTTCGGTGTTTTTTACTGATCGAGATATATCAAAACGGGAGGTTTGATGCCGAGGTTATGTTTGTGCATTTGTGATGGCTATCCAAATGTACATTCATGACTCGCCATCAATAAACCTATTGTACTCGGGTAGTGGGTTTTCCTCTCCCCTGGCCAGGGATGGGTACGTAACATACTTCATGTATGTTACCCGGGTTTGTTACGTATGTTACGCATGTATGTAACTCGTTTGGTTTGCTACCCTACGTATGTTACATTTTATGACGTCAGTCAGAAGTAAACATAACCTCAATTTTTCTGGTTGTCGCCAATCCGGCACTTGGCCTTGTTTATTATTATTCTTTTAATTAATCATAAGTCCTGGAAATTATTGTTTTAAAAATGAAACGAGGTGGAAGGCCTCTTAATAAACCCTTTTTTCAACAACTTAGTTTTACTCCTACCAAATTAGAAAACGGGAGAGTAGGAAAGTAGTTTGGATTTAAAGTATTAATAAATTTTTTTAAAAAATAGGACTCCACAACCGTAAATGGAATGTTGCATCCAAAAAAAAACATTCCCAGACTAAAGTCTTCTTTTGATAATTCCATTTTAGATTGTTTTCCTGTTCCTAAAAATATAAAAAATCCGTTACTTAATTTATACGTTTATAAGACTTTCTACAGGATCAAATATCTATTACATTAAATTTTTATAACTTAATTTATTGAATCCAAAATCATTCTACTGGAAATTTATATACTTTATACATGTAACTATAAATTATTAATTTTATAATTATTTTACAAAAGTGAGGTTATGACGCACCTTTGATGTTTGCTACGTTTGCGACAATTTGTTACGTATGTTACTCATTTATGTAACATACGTAGAAAACCTCGAGTTTGTTACATTTACCCATCCCTGCTTCCAGGATTTAGCATCAGAGACTCAGGTATGCTTAGTAATTATAGTTTGCGTATTCCCGCGAACAGCAACAGATGGCGCGGCTCGCGTCCTGCTCTATGAATACATTTAATTCAAATGGGATATTGTTCAAAATCAAATGAATTAATACTTTTAAATATATTAAAAATATAGTATTATTATTAATATATTCTTAAATACATTATTATTAATATATTATTATTTAAAATATATTATTACATGAAATATTGTCGAAAAAATAGAAATCGCGTAATATAGTAGAGTAGTACATTATTCCTGAATTATTTACAATATATTTATTAATGTATGCAACTACATATTATGCAATGTAGTATTAGAGAAGAAATTCATTCTTTAATTGTGATTTAGGTATAATCTTTTTGTGAACATTACATGAAAACAGGAAAAATTCCACATGTTTTCAGTCCCGACTGGGAAAGAAAGAATGTCAAAAGCCATTTATCGTGCCAATTTAGTTGTCAAAAGTTTACAAGTAATTTGTGAAAAACTCACTCAAAAAATTATATATTTTTGAAAATAATTAAATTCTTTGGAAAAATTTTATTAACAGTATGAAAACAATATATTTTTGTGAGCAATTTTATTAAAATTGTATTGAAAAAATTGAATAACTGTAAAGAATTTTATTTTCGAAAGTAATTGAATTCTTTTAAGCAATTTATTAAAAATTGTATTGAAAATAATTTAATTTTTACAAACAATTTTATTTTCGAAAGTAATTGAATTCTTTCGAAAAAATTTAAAATAATTAAATTCTAGTTGAAAGTTTTCCAAAAAAACTTCCAAAAATTCTGTAATTCTGGAAATAATTAAATTCTGATACATATTTGATAAAAATTTTCAAGAATAATTGAATTTTTTTGAGAGTATTTAAAATAATTGAATTTTTTTGAAGAATTTTATATTAAAATTTTCAAAAATAATTTAATCCAAATACAGAATAGGTACCTATTAAAAATAAAAAAATCTTCTAATTTATGAAAGTAATTTAGTTTTTTTGAGAAATTTTATTGAAATGGTATTAAAAATAATTTAATTTCTGAAGAGGATTTTATTAAAATAAAAGAATTTAATTCTTTTAGGATATTTTACTAAAATTATATTGAAAGAAATTGCAATACTGAGGATTTTATTTTTTAAAGTAATTAAATTCTTTCGAGAACATTGAAAATAATTAAATTCTGGTCAAAAGTTAAGCAAAAATTTTTAAAAATTATTTTGAAAAATAAAATTTTGTAATGCTTAATAATAATTTAATGAAATCTGTCTTTTCTTTATGAATTTCTGCAATAATTTGCAATTTCTCCAAAATTCACTTTTTTCAGTGTTTTCAACTAAAATTATTCTTCTATAAATCCATTATTTTTAATAATTAATTAAATATATATTAAAAAGAAAAACTAATTTCAGAAAAATTTGAATTTTTAAAATTCACTGTTAACTTAAAAGTATCAATTTGATCCACTTTAGTATCAATTTGATGCTTTCAAGAAAACTGTGTTTCTAATTGAATTAATTCAAAACTGAAATTTTATAAAATTTTAAATTCTAAAAATTATAATTGCTTTCAGTACTTTTAATAAAAATCCCTAACTTTTCCCTGACCTGTGGTAACCCTGATAAAAAGACAAGAATAGAATAAACCACTCAAATCAACTCAGATCTAAATATTACTGTCAAAATTCTAATTGATGTTTAGGATCGTTGAGACTGCGTGTAAAATACACACATAACTAAAAGAAGAATGCATAATTCATAACAAAAAAAAATTCATCAGATAAGAGAAACCTTTTTTCTATAGGTCGGAATTCCGAGTGTCTCCACAAGAAGCGTCATGGATCGCATCACTATCGTTATTGGGAGCTTGGTTCGGAGCTATGATTGGAGACTGGATAATGAGAAAGGGACGTAGACTGGCTCTTAGAATGACATCTCTACCTTTGGTAGCATGTTGGGTTTTAACAGGAGTTGCACCTTGTGTCGAGTTAATTTACACCGCAAGTTTCGTCGGAGGACTCTGTTGTTCAGTGATAACAATGGTTGCACAGGTATATCAAAGATCAAACTTAACAATAATCCAAATAATCTTAACTATTAATCCAAACAATTCAGACTAATAATCCTAATAATCAGGGTTGCTACAGAAGTCTGTTTTTAAATTTCCATGACTTTTCCAGGTTTTCCAGTACCAAATCTGATAAATTTCCAGGTCACCTTTTGAACATTATAATTTAGAGCAATTTTTCTGTATTATAAAAATATTCACGTTAGATTATCTCTATTTGATTATTAAAGCACAGACAGGGTGTCTACTGAAAATATGACTTAAAATTCCAGGACATTCCAGGACAGATTTTTTATTTTTCCAGGACATTTACATGTGTAATATTATTTCATATTACGATTAACATAATTTAAATTAACCTACTTGAACAAAAATATTAATTTTATTATAAAAAGAGTTAAAAATCAATATTATATAATATAGATATCAGATTCTTTAATCAAACGACAAATTAAAATTATTTTTTGATGGATCAAAAAAATTATTTTTTTAAATTTGAGTAAAATTTTTAAATTATTGAATATTTAAAAGCAAAATATGGAAAATTCAAGGATATTTCAGGACATTTCCAGGAATTCCAAGACATCATTTTTTAAAAGAAAAAATGTAGTAAAAAATATTAAGTGGAATAAAATTCCAGGCATTTCAAATTTCCATGACATTTCCAGGTATTCCAGACCTTTTTTTAAAAAATCCCTGACTTTTCCAGGTATTCCAGACCTTTTTTAAAAAATCCCTGACTTTTCCAGGTTTTCCAGGTTCTGTAGCAACCCTGAATAATGCAAACAATGCAAAGTATTAATCCAAACTATTAAAGTTGCGTGGGCGTATTTGTTTAAATTTGAGAAAAATATAAAGCCCCTTTAGTGTACACGATATGTAACGCAATAATCCATTGTGTAAACAAGTAAAAATTTTTTTACACACATTCAACAATGCGAACGTAAGATCTAGTGAAAGTAATATAATTAGGCACTTAAAGATGATCGAAAGTATAATCTGAGCTATAAAATCGTGCGCATATATGAATACATAAACAGACTAATAATAGTCTTTAGGAATAGTAAAGAAAAATAATCATTAGCCTCGGCTATTGGGAAGGTCAAAGACGATGACTATATCTTTTTGAAAATTCTTTATAAAGAAGAAAGTGTTGCATCTTTTTTACAATTCCAAGAAACTCTATACTGATACAATACAGAATCTGGCAAACTATTTCCATGTTATACTTTTTTTCAGATATTCACTTTTAGTCTTTTTTTAGTTATTCAGATTTAGTTTAAACTATAAAGAGCATTTTTAATAATAATAATAATAATAGTATTATATTTATTAAAGAAGAATATTATTTATTATTATTAAAAATGCTCACAAAAGAATAAGAAAAGAAAAATTGTCGATTCATTCTAATAATTTTTAAACTTAAAAATCAGGTCTACATCTCAGAGATTTCTCTACCAGGAATTCGAGGTTGTTTATCAGCCATACTGAAAGTTCTCGGTCACGTGGGAGTTTTGCTATCATACATCGCGGGTTCTTACTTGAATTGGAGGCAGAGTGCATTGTTAGTGGCTATTGCACCCTTAATGCTCTTTCTCGGTACTCTCTTCATACCGGAAACGCCCTCCTATCTCGTTTTGAACGGCAAGGATGAGGAAGCTGCAAGCAGCTTACAATGGCTTCGAGGACCGCATGTAGATATCGGCCAGGAATTACAGGTAAATATTCTATTTTTATCTCACAGTATATACTCCATTTAATGTACTTGAAATTCAACATCTCTTTCAAGAACAATATTCACTTCAACTAATGTCTAATCTAAATCATTCTAATCAAAATTTTAATTCATGTTTCGGATCATTATGACTAATTAAATAGTTAATCGAAAAATTAAGAACTTACAGAAAAAATAAAAAAATTAGTAGTACCTAATTAGTAGTCTAATTGACGTGGTGGAATTTTTTATTTATTCTAGGTTATCAAAACCAATATTCTAGCATCGAGGGCAAAACAATATGATCTATCATTCAAAAACAGTGTGCTCACACCAAGACTGTACAAACCGATAGGAATCACGTGTGGTCTTATGTTCTTCCAAAGATTCTCGGGTGCTAATGCTTTCAACTACTACGCGGTCATAATATTCCGTCAAACCCTGGGTGGTATGAATCCGCACGGAGCAACAATCGCCATTGGATTTGTGCAACTTCTAGCATCACTCTTGTCCGGTACAACCAATTTTTCAAAATTTTATTATATTAATACACAACTTTAGTAACTTAATTAATAACATACAACATCAATAACTTTATTAACATAACAGATTAAATCTTGATCGAAAATGACAAACATTTTTAGTTTCAAAAACAGGATAAACTTTAGTCGAAAAAGACAAGTACTTTTTTGTTTCAAAAATAGAATAAACCTTAATCGGAAGAGATGAGTATTTTTAATTTTTAAAACAGAATTAGCCCTAAAACTAAAGAGACGAGCATTTTTAATTCAGAAAAGCATCTAATCGAAACAGACGAGAATTTTAATTTTCAAGTTCAACTTAACACTATCCGGAGAACAACAAGTGTATAGCATCCTCTTTTGGAAACCTTTTTTCGACGAAGCAAAGAGCACTGATCTTACTTTGTTTTCAGAGACAACATATTACCCGAGATTTTCTCACATGCCACTAATTTGTCTGTCAGTACTTGTATACCTCTGTTTCTCACACTTAAAAATTGTTCAATAATAACAATACCAACTCTGCTCTAAACCAAAAATAAACACATTCGTCAAAAAAATTTTTTAAGAACACAACAACAAAATATAACAAATATCAAGGAAATGAATAAAAAAATTGATATATCTTTCCAATTCGCAGGATTTCTGATTGACATTGTCGGTCGATTACCACTACTAATAGCGAGTACTGTCTTCATGTCTTTGGCTCTTGCGGGTTTTGGTAGTTATGCTTACTACAATTCAATATCACAAAACCAAAATCAGGTCTATACTGATCCAAGCATGATTGGACAACACGATTGGATACCGTTGTTGTGCGTACTCGTGTTCACAACGGCTCTTGCACTGGGCATATCGCCAATTTCGTGGCTATTGATTGGTGAGCTGTTCCCACTGGAGTACCGAGGACTCGGTTCAAGCATCAGTACAAGCTTTAGTTACTTTTGCGCCTTTCTTGGCATCAAGCTCTTCATGGACTTTCAGCAGGTGGGTGAAAAAAGTTCGACTCAATATTATTTCTTTTTTGAGATACAATTTTAAAAAACTTATTTTTTATTATGAGGCTTAAGTCCGCAATGTTTTTAAACAATACAGTATTGCTGTTTCAGCTATACGTTCTAACTATACGAGTATGACAAAATCGATCGACAATATCATTTTTTTCAGTGCTTAAATTTACTTTTTCCTAGAAGACAATAATTACCTACAACTAATTTGTAGCCAAAATAATAAATATCTTATTATTTTTCGTTTTTAAAAACGTTGCCAACTACAGCCTCTCTATCATCAAATGAAACCTGAATCAAAAATCAAAATTTGGTGTTTTTAAAATAAATTCAAAAATAATTATGTTAACCAAATTCAAAAATTTGTTAACCTAAACAGGGTTGCTACAGGTCAAGGAAAGTTAGAGAAAGTAGAATTGGTCAGGGAAAATTCAGGGATTTTTATTAAAATTACTGGAGAAAATTAAAATTCTAGAATTCTTAAGAAACTTTTATCGCAATTATCTTCATAAATAACAAAATTCTTTACTAAAATTTAATTATTTTTAGGAATTTTAATAAAATTCTTTGCAAAATTTCAATTATTTTAAAAACTTTTTCGCAATTCAATGATTTAAATATTTACTATTTTTATAAAATTTATCACAAAATTTAATAGAAAATTTTTTTTTAATATAATTCTACAAAAACGTTCAATTATTTTCATAACAGAATTTCAAATATTTTTAATACAATTTTAAATAAATTCTTCGAAAAATGTAATTATTCTTACAAATTTTATTAAAACTCGACGAAAGAATTCGATTTTAAAAAACGTTCAATTATTCAATAAAATAATAAAACTCGTTGCAATAATTCAATTATTTTCATAAATAACTTTTAATTCATTGCAGAACATCAATTATTTTCAAGAAATTTTAAGTAATTCTGCAAAAGAATTTCCATAAAATCAATTATTTTAAGGAATTTTAATAAAATTCTTTTCCAAAATTCAATTATTTTGATAAATATCAAAATTTATCATAAAAATTCCATTCTTTTGAAGTATGTTCAGAAATTTTAATAAAATTCAATGCGAAATTAAATTATTTTCAAAAAATCTACAAAAAATTGTCAACATTTTAATTATGTCGAGGGGCAAACTACTAAAGAATTGGGTATACTCCTACTACAATAATAATTAAGTAATTCATGGTAATTCGTGGTAGTTCACATTAGTAATTCAATACCAGTGTACACCATAATTCACGAGTTGTTTACCCCTTGAATTATGTTAAAAAATGAAAAGCAAAATTCTTCGACAACATTGAAGTATGTTCAGGAATTTTAATAAAATTCATTGTAAAACTCAATTATTTTCAAAAAATTTTCTTAATTTAATGATTTTCAATATTCTACTATTTTAATAAAATTTCCCAAAATAATTGAATTATTAAACAAAAGTTTTGATAAAATTCCACACGAACATTCAATTATTTTCCAAAAAAATAAAAATTTTACTGGAATTCAATAATTTAAAATAGAATTTGCATAAATTTTTTCAAAAAAATCAAATGTTTTAAAATTTTGCATTAAATTTTTCGCTGTAGGTAATTCAATTATTTTCATAAATTTAACTTAAATTCATTGCAAAATTTCAATTCTTTTCAACAATTTTAATTAAATTCCTCGAAAAATATAATTATTTTTAAAAATATTATTAAAAGTCGTCGAAAGAATTCAATGATTTAAAAATTTGTTCAATAAATTATTTATTTTTGTATTTAAATAATTGAATTCTAGTAGAATTTTCTAATAAAAATTGATTTATTTAAAAAAGAAGTTATTGGAGTTTTCGAATAACTTTTCAATAATTAAATAAATTCGTAAATAAATGTAAAAGAACATTTTTTTTGAGTATTTAATGATTTTTAAAGTGAATCAGAATATTCTTTAGGGTCAGGGAAAAAATGAAAATTTTGTCTGGAAATCAGGGAAAGAGAAAATTAAATTTTTGTGGCAACCCTGATTAAATGAAAAATATGTTAACCGAATTAAAAAATTTTTAAATTTGATTCGGAAATTTGTAAGTTGAAACGAAAAGATTTGCATATACAAACTAGTGCGCAATATTTTTAAGTTCTCGTTAACTCTAATCTCTCCAAAGATAAACGATACAATAATGAATGGGAAGGAATAAAGAAAAGAACTACTACTCCTACATAAAACGGAAATACAACCACCTTTCAAGATGAAAGGATGTCGGCACCCATCGCGAACTGTATAACAAACACGAATGTTTCTCAAAGTCGCTCTTGCGTGAACTCACGTAAAATGAAGAGGAATCTCTTAAAAATCCTGTTTCGAGGAAAAATTACTTAAAACTTTTTTTTCCAAGAATATGATCTTATTTAGATTCGAGAAATTAGCATTTAATTTTAAAAGAAAAAAATCGTATTTCAGCATTTAATATTTTAATTGAAGTCTGGAGAAATAACAAAAGTGTTTGCTTTACAGGTTCTAGGACTGCACGGTGCATTTTGGTTCTACGCTGCCATGGCGATATGTGGATTATGTTTTGTCGTGTGCTGTGTACCAGAGACAAAGGGTAAACAATTGGACGAAATGAATCCAAATTACGCCCAGGCTCGGTAGTATAAGGCCTCCCTCACTGGAGGGTTATCAAATTTAGAGAAAGCTAACAAGCCACTGCCCAGCGGAGCATATCCAAATCAACACGATCTACATGTTCTTTACAGCACAAGAAATCAACCAATTGTCATCAATCAACGCACCACATTCGATTGTTCCGCAATATTTCCCAGGAGGAATCATCGTAAATTCTCCGATTACTGTGATATTTTTATCGAGAAAACGGGTCGTCTCTCAAAGAATGTCGGCCATTTTATGCAATCACGGGGTTTGCTATTAAATCGACGCTCGGAAATGCAATTGTGCGACACAAGTCCCGAGAGAATAAATCGACAAATATCCTATTATCAAGAAAGAACGACGATGGATCGCGATTCATTGATGGAATATCATCATCAGGGACAGAATCTTCAATTCATTCAAGAATTGAATCAAGTTGAACAGCGTCGACGTCGTCGGCGACGTATACAAAAACTCCAACGTGAATTACGTCAAAAAATGATGTTAAACTCAGCGTCGCGTAACGATATTGGCTATACACAAAAACCATATTACGCGACACTACCAAAACGTAGTAGAACCATCAATTTTGCAGATCAGATCCGTCCGCAAGATATTCGCAGGATAAGTAGGTACCCAAAGAGTTTACAAGATCTGACCGCACTTGAACTTGAAGCCATTTTAGATCGCGATCCACAGCCATCGTCCTCCATTCATGAGGACTGTTCACTCGAGGAATATTTCCGTCGACATTTAAATAATCAGGGTGATATTGTTAATCACTGTTACACAGACAATGAATATTTGACAAGACTGTACAGAAGTTTACCAAGACATAGTCAATTGCCAAAGGATTGGCTTGTCCCAGGTAAAGTACATTACGAAAAAGAGTGTCGAATGTACGGAGACACAGTTGCCGAGATTTACTATAAAACTTGTTACTTGTGATGAAAGCAACAAAATCAAATAGAAATTCATTTTTCAAAATAATGCAAACAGAAAATTATAAGAAAGAAGTGAAGAAATGCCGCCCAAGATAATAATTTACATCCAGAAAGATACGAGAAAAAGTACTTTCGCATCAAAGTACTTATTTTTACAGGTATACTTTTAGGTGAGAAACTAATTTAATTTGCCAACATTCTGTTTACGAGACTTTCCCCTTTTTATTTATTCACATTATAAAAGTCTAGTTGTAAAAAAATTGGCACAATTTTCAGGGCTCGAACCAGTGAAAGTATTTAAAAATACGGATATTACGAACCAATTACTGACAAAAATATAACCAGTCCGAGTCAAATAAGAGAAAATTTAACTTAAAACTATAAATTAAATTTTTCATAACTATAAAACATGAAGATATCGATAACTCCGAGTCGAAGACTCGGAGTGATCGATTTCTTCATGTTATATAATAATTAAAGATGGCCGAGTGATAAAATCAATATTTATCAATTCAATTATTATTTTCAACAATTCTCAACTCAAATTCTTCTATAAATGCATTATGTTTAATAATTTTTGAAAACGTTCTTTAAGAATTTTTAAATTCATTTGTTTACAATTTTAATTTTACAAACTTTTGACGAATTAAAATTCTGCAATGAGTTTTATTATTTATGAAAATAATTTAATTCCTAAAAAGAATTTTATTATTTACGAAAATAATTGATCCCTGTAAAAAATTTTAACATTTATGAAAATAATTGAATTATTACGAAGGATTTATAAAAAGTTTGTAAATAATTGAATTATTACGAAGGATTTTATAAAAAAATTTGTAAATAATTGAATTCTTATGGCTCTGTAAATTTAGTTTATACTTATGTAAATCTTTAAGGGTCTTAATTGTAACCCGTTTATGCCATGAATAATTTTATTAAAATATTTGAAAATAATTATTGAATGTAGGAGAAGAGTTAAATTATTTCTAAAAAAATTTAAATTTTAATGAGAATTAAAAAGAAAGAATTTAATTAAATTAAAAATTAATTAATAATTTTAATTAATTTTCAATTCATTAAAAAAATTAAATTAAAAAAAAATAAAAAATTAAATTAAATTGAACTAATTAATTAAATTAAATCTTTTAATTCTTTTTGAAAATAATTGATTTTTTGCGAAGAATTTTATTACTTTTGAAAATAATTAAATTTCTGCAATAATTTGTAATTTCTCTAAAATTTTCCAAATTATATCGTACAAATTACGAACTTTTCGTCTTTCCTCAATCAAATTACAGACTTTACGGACTTTTAAAAAAACTGACTCTTACGGTCTTCAAGCAAATTTACGGACCTTTACGAGATTTACTGACCTAGTTCGAGCCCTGAATTTTCAATATTAATTTCATCCAAAACCTGACAAGACAAAATTATAATCTTTATGTTTAAATGTCTGTTTTTGAAATACAAAAAGAATAGTTAATTTCGACACTATTATTCTAAATGAATCGGGAGCTATTAAAAACGCTCATCTTTCGGGATAAATAAAGAAAAAGATAAGGAAAGAAAAATATAATAAGGACGAAACGTTTTTAAGAGCAACGATTACTATAATATAAATATATATATTTATACCGTTTTAATTTTTTGTAAATATACATTTTAACTAGTCGAATCGTGCGTCTCGAAATAAAATACAGATTTTTCGCCATAGAAAAAGGCAGAACTTCCATACATCGTGCCTTCCTCGAAACACGACAATATTATACCCATTACATAAATTACATTCGCGTAATTATTAATGTATATAAGTAATATTTTAGGGAGAGACTCATTAGCATAAATTATATCGAGAATTGTCTAGATATTAAAAACAAAAAAAAACCTACACTACCGTCGGGAATTATCGGTACGGCTGCACGCGCACGGCTCAAAAACATACCAATCATTAAATCAGGATTTTTTTGTAAATACAAATGTCAGAAAATTAACAAATATACCATTCGAAATATTATTAAATTCCACGATTAATGATATGTAACTAAAAATTTTAATAATTTATACAAAACTTGCAGCAATCTACAAATTTGACAAAAAAATTTTAAAAATAAAATTTTCTTGGAAATTATTTCAACCCCTGCACATTTTTTAAAAATTGTAGAAAAAATTTGAACCTTATATAGGTGTAATCATTTAAGTCTCATCTTTAATTTAAGACCAAAAGAGTTAAAAAATCTTATTCGGTTCGTGAGATATCATTATATACGTCCGAGCATGTTTTTTGACCAATGCATTGAATTAGTCGATTTTGAACGTTTTTTTTTCTTTTGGTCTTAAATTAAAGATAAGATTTGAGTGATTATACCTATATATGTTTCAAAATTTTCCTACAATTTTTAAAAAAATGTGCAAAGGTTGAAATAATTTCCAAGAAAATTTTATTTTTTAAATTTTTTTGTCAAATTTGTAAATTGCTGCAAGCTTTGTATAAATTATTAAAATTTTCAATTATACATATCATTAATCGTAGAATTTAATAATCTTTCGAATGGTATATTTGTTAATTTTCTGACATTTGTATTTACAAAAAAAATCGTGATTTGAAGATTGGTATGTTTTGGGGCCTGCGCGTGCAGCCGTACTGATAATTCCCGACGGTAGTGTATCTTGAAAAAATGCATTTTATGCTTTTGTCGAATATCAACAACTTTTTTCAAGGGATTTTCTGCATCTAAAACCCCATTTCAATTAGGAATTTTTAAAATAAAATTAAAAAGAAAGCGATTTTTGCAAATTAAAAACAGGCGTCTTTCAAAAGCAAAGAATACCAAAACTTACAATTGTTATTGATGGAAAAATAATGGCATGAAAAAACTTAAAAAAAAATTAATTTATTTTATTTGTACTTCGCTAAAAATATTTTTTCAATATAGAAAAAATATACGAAAAAATTGTATAATTATACGAAAAAATGTATTTAAAAAATAATGAAAGAATGTAGTAAATGTGTATGAATTCAAGCGTGATGATAAATATTGAAAAAGCCATTTGAAAACTTGCATTATTGAATAACGAATGGAAAGACAATAAAAAAATCCTAACGGAGAAAAAATTATGACAATACATTTCAGTTTCAATGTAAATTATTTATAACAAAAAAAAAAGGAAAACAATACTATTTAGTGATAAATATTACTGTATAAAATAATATCAAAAAATATACCCTGATTTTTTTCTTCTTTAAATATATGATGAATAACTCGAATTTTCGCGATTATTTTCAATATTTACAAATTATATTGACAATAAATTTTATTCATAATATCTAGATATGTAATAAAAATAATAATTCTCGACAATACTGAGCATTGACAATTTTTCAAAATAAAATTTGTTTTATATTGTATTTTTAAAAATAAGACTAATCGTTATAATATTGTTAGATGTCAAGTGTTACTCGAAACCTGAATTTATAATTTAATCTAAAAAGTATAGATATTTAAAAAATTTAATTAAATAAATAAAAAAGAAAGGCACCTATTTTAATAAATTTAAAGAAAAAATCTTTAACATTTAAATTTCAAAAATATTTTTTAAAAGAATTTTTGTTTTTTAAGAATTAAAATTTATTCTAATTTAATTATTTCTACTCTCTCAGTTAGAATTAGTTTTTAAAATAACTAATTTGATAGTAAAAAGTCAGTGTCTGATTCAAATAGTAATATTTTACTAATTTTACTAATAAAAAAGTTTTTAAAAGGGGAAAAATCAAAAAAGAATTTTTTCATCTTAAATTCAACTCTTAAAAAAACAAAATTTTGATAATTAATTAGTTTTATCATTAATAATTAGTTATTTTTTTTACTAATAATTCAGTTATTTTTTACTAACTGTTGAAAGATAAAATTATCCAACATTTTACTAACAGTTAGATATTTTTAACTTGGTAATTAAGATTTAGAGTAAAATAATTGTTTCATTGTATTTAAAAACTTTACAATTTGTCAAATAGGTATTTGTATTAAAAATAATTAAATTTTTCAATTTTAAAAAACAACCAATTTAAAAAATCCCATTATTTCAATTGTTTCCATAATTTGTAAATACAAAAGTATTTTTAAATTATTGAAAATATATTGAAATAATTTGAAAATATAATTGTTTATTTACGAAAAAAATTACTTTTACTATAAAAAAGTTTTGTACATTAAAAAAATGCATTTGATTCAAACAACCGATTACTTGTCTATTATTTATCAAATAAATATTGACTTGAATCAAATAATTTTTATTTAAATTAAGCAAACTTATTTGTTAATAAAATTTACTAATCCAAAATCAAAAAGTCAGTTACTAATTCAAATTAGAAAACATTTTTACTACTACAAATTTAAGGAATAAATAAAAAATTATTTGATACAAATAAATATTATTTGATAATAAAGCAATCGTTTATTTG